TTGGCACCACGCCAGTGGAAAAACTACTGTTTACTATGGCAAGAATGGACAGACCTAGAGTAGGAAAAACCTCCTTTAGTAGTCGAGGGGGGACCACATCAAAGGGGGAACCAGAAGGTTTCAAGCTGCCCATGACCTGCTCTAGAGAAGATAGAGTGATGGGTTCAAAATGGTCAAATAGAGCTACAGATTGAGGTGGGATGGATGGGTCATGAGTTGGAGGGGAAATGAGAGCCCGCGAGGTCGCAATTTTTTCCAAAAAGAAATGTAAGAAGTTCTCGCACAGCTCAGTCGAGGCTTCCAGAGGTGATGGTTCAGTGAGGTGGAGAACAGAGTTTAGGGTGGAGAAGAGGACACGTTGGTTGCGAGAGTTTGAGGTAATTATATCAGAGAAGTATTTGGATTTAGCAGCTTTCACTGCTTTCTGATAACAGCGCCAACTCTCTTTAAGTATTTGAAAAGAGACCTGCAGCCTGTCTTTCCTCCACTTTCACTCCGCCCTCCTACATTGCTGTCTAACAGCCTAGGTGACGTCACTCAGCCAAGGTTCTGCTCTGAGTTTTGATTTTTTGGTTTTAACAGGCGCAACATGATCCAGAGTCTTTAAGCAGACAGACTTGAACTGGGATGTCAGCTCCTCAGTGGTGGTGAGAAACACCGGGGGCTGAATTATCATTTCAGAGTTATAAACATCAGTGAAACGTACGGCAGTGAAGTGGTTAATGGTCCAGCTGCGACGTGCAGGAATTCACGGCTTAGGAGTTAGATGGGGGAGGGTGAACTCAAACTGGACTGGCATATGGTCTGAAAAAACATTATCACCAATTTCATGATTACTAACAGTCACATCACGAGTTAAAACAAGGTCCAGTGTATGTCCATGCTCTTGGGTGGGACCGTTTACATGCTGTGTTAGATTAAATGAGTCCAATACATCTAAAAAGTCCTTAACCAAGGACTTCTCCTGACAGCACACGTGCAAATTAAAGTCCCCAAAAATGAAAACATGATTATATTTTGGTGTGATTTCAGCCAAGAAGTCAGAAAACTCATTTATGAAATCCTTAGATCGAGGTGGGCGGTAGATGAGTGCAAATAACGTCGGAGGCGAGTGGCCGAGTTCAAAGACGCTCAGCTCAACGCTGGCGTGGGAAACTGGGATGGGCAGTTGTTTACAGTCAAAAGTTGATTTGAATATTGTTAATAATCCACCACCGCGCCGGCCTGATGGCTGCGGTGCGTTACAATACAGACAGTTTGGTGGCAATAATTCCATCAAGGCCCTGGACTCACTCGGAGACATCCAAGTCTCTGTGATACAGAATAAGTCCAACTCGTACTCTTGAAAGTAGTCCCTGAGGATAAAAGTTTTGTTGGTAACAGATCTTGCGTTGACCAAACACATCTGGATACTGTCCAAAGTGAAGCCAACCGCGGTGAAGTTCGCGCGTGCCAATGGCTGCAGGTTTTCAATAAAAACCCCTCCGGGTCGGTCCGAGCTGTGCACTGGCTGACAACTGTTGTTTAACTGGTCCAGGCACGCGGGAAGCTGGTGATGGAAACCATGACCACCAGCTGAAGAGGAAGATGCAGTGCGCAGGGCTTTAAGCTTTACCAGCCGCCCAGCACGTTTTCTTCGGCGTCTGAAGCGATGTCTCCGGGCAGGGAGGTGAGGAGCGCAGCGGAGGTAAGCTGGCACGTCCGCCAGCGGGGGGGGGGGGGGGGGGGTCCAGAGGTACGCTCATATTTTTTCATTTAGCCTTTATTTATCCAGGTTAGTCTCATTGAGCCACGAGAACTCATTTTCAAGAGAGACCTGTTTAGGGAGCACATGGTGGGGGTTAAGGGCCTTGCTCATGGGCCCAGAGTGGGGCGAATGAGGGTGGGGGCAAGTGTGGGTGTTTCACCTACCCCACCCACAATTTTTTTTTATGTTGTCGGGGCCGGGACGTGAACCGGCGATCTTCGGATCACAAGCCCACCTCTCTAACCTCTGCGCCACCACTCCCCTGATATTGTTTCAAATAAGTGACATCGATGACAGAAAAACGAAAATCCAGAAGCTGTTGTTGGTCATACATCAGTAGTGATGTATTTGGGGCGGCTGTGGCTAAGTGATTAGAGCAGTCGTCCTCCAATGCAAGAGTTGGGGGTTCGAATCCACCAGCAGTCACATGCCGAAGTGTCCCTGGGCAAGACACTGAACCCCTTGTTGCCTCCGATGTGTGTCCCATCGGTGTATGAATGTGATAAAGCACTGATTAGTCTCTTTAGAATGGTTTGTTCAATTAGCTTTGTAGAGATCTAGTAGAGTGCTGAATGAATGGGTAAATTAGGACACAGATTGTAATGTAAAGCGCTTTGAGTATCTCGACAAGATAGAAAGGCGCTATATAAGTACACTCCATTTACCATTCGGTTTAGTGAGTCTATATCACAGATAAAAAACGAACAAAACAAAAATAATCCAAACACCATCAGCAGAGGTGGGTTGCAAGCCATGTACACAGGCATCATCTTACCGGAAGTTGCCATCTTACCGGAACCGGAAGTTATTAGATTACAGAACTGATTCACAGCTGCTGCTGATTATGATTTTATAATTCTTTTCATGCCTGTGATGCTGGTAAGCAGCATCACATCAATTATGTGATGACATGTCCCCGTCACATTTAAAAAATATTTGTTTGGACCCCCCCCACCCCCCACCCCACACACACACATTTACCTTGAAATATTAGTTCACCCAGTGCTGTTTGCATTTCTTTGTGAACAGGTCCATTCTACTTAATTAATAGAAGAATACGCAAAGCACTAAAGTCCACTCTGGGTTTTCAACAACTCTCCACACTGCATGCAGTGTTTCCCCAGGGTACTTGTCTTGGCAGGAGATACTCATCTCTCAGGGGTTTTTTGTGGACAGGGTGGGGGGGGGAGGGGGAAACGGCTCTGTGTGGCATGCTATCTTAGCGCTACATTAGTGCCAGCAGTTGTCAAACGCAGTGGGGGTGTTAGGATGCTCGAGGTGAGCAAAGCGTGCTCTATTCACACGAGGAGAGCTGTTGGTCAGGCTACTTCCTGTTACTCTCTAAAATAGTTATTGAATCAAGTTACTTATGTAGGAAAACATGGATGTTTAACCCCTTAAAATATACCAAAATACAGGAAATGGCATCTACTTTATTCAAAACTGTCTGGGGGAAGACCCCCAGACCCTCCTACCAGTGTGCCTGCCCCCCGCCCCTTACAAACACTTCTGACGCAAATGCTGGTTAGACATTTTCATCAGTGTTTAAACAGTCTGTGTTCACAAAGAACATTTTCACTGCACAGAACATCTTTGTGTTGATGTTGGAAATGACTCCAGCTCCTACTCTGAAAGTTATTTAGAACGTTGGGAGTCCTAAAAACAGTTCTGTGGAACTTCTTCCTTTTAGATTATGATATTGAGCATTATAAATTAATTGCAAACTAATTGACTGAAATGTGTCTGTTCAATGTGTTGTTGAGACTTTTTGAGTTTTTTGCTGCGGGGCAGTACTCTGGGGCACATATTTTACGTTGTATAAGTTCAAATACATTGAAACCTCATTTATGTCACTGTTACTTGAAGCTGAATTGTTTGTTGTTAAAAGCAGTTGTTTGTATTTTTCAGAGAGCATTTTTAATAAACGATTGCAATATGTCAAGATTTTATTCTATCAACACCACAAAAAAAGTTTCAGGCTCAGGATTTTTTTTTTTTTTTCACTTTAAACCCTGGAATGCCCTGGTGTGCTGATGAGCTCTGACTGCCTTCGTCTTTGGGGGGAGATTCATTTGCTGTTTTGTAGAACAGCTCACGCAGAGAAGATCATAAGGTGCTATGTTCACCTTTATGACATTGTATTGTGCATATTTTCTGTTTCATTGACATAGACAATTTGATTTTATTGAACTGATGCGGCTCCAAAATGTCACAACAAGCTGTGCATGTCAGCTTGCTGATTAGGTTGACTCAAACTCACATTAGCTGTTTGCAAAGGCTTTTTTGGCTTCAGGTCCAAGCCATACAGACACTAACTGGGAGTTCAGTTTGACTGACAGCTGCTATTCACTAACCATGCATAAATTCAACAAATTAAAATGCTTGCTTTGTATTTTGTTTAAAATCTAAAGGTGCTCCTTCAAAAGCATAGCTGTGACTTACCTACCACAAGAGTTGGCTCATTCTGCAACTTCTTGCTGCTTTAGCATTAGCATTCTGTTTAGCATTAGCCTTTATTTTTTCACATTTTGCTTTGTTCTGAAAACTTGTCACAGTTTGTTTTTATAAAATAGAAACAGTAATAGCCAGTTATAGGCACACATTTTTCATTTGTGTTGTTTTAGTTAAAAACTGCTTTTAATTTAGCAGGAAGATTTTTTGGGGTAGAGGTAGGGCAGCCGACCTGGGATCTGAAAGTTCTAGGTTCGATCCCCAGCCACTCCCATATATCGTGGTGTCTCTGAGCAAGACACTCAATCCCTAATTGCTCCCTAGGCGCTTACATAGCTGCCCACAGCTACACCTGGGTGTAACCAGGTGTGATGGGTTTTAACCCATCAGAGAACTCATTTTGCCATTGTATGGGAACACACAATGACAACATAGCACTTATTATATATATATTTTTTTTTCACATCTAGTATTTCCTTTTTAGTTTGACGCAAGGTGGTTTAATATTTTATAAGTATGTTTATATTTTAAGTATCAAGTGTCTGTGTATTGGAGTACATTTTTTAAAATATTGTTCTTTTTTTACTTGAATGTAATAAGCAAGTTGCCTGCTGCAAATCAAAATATAGAATAATTTTTACATTTAACTTCATTAATATTTTATTTCTTGTAATTTAAATACAATTGTCAGACACAGGAATTTAGAATAATATGTTGTCATTTGATTCAACTATGTGCTTTATTTTGTTTGTGTGTGTCCATAAATGTGTTGTTCCTTGTTTTACCACTGTTTTCCTCCAAGTAGATCGCAGCAAGGCATGACCAGGTGGGGACCCCCCTCTGCCAACTCAGCTTCCATCATGACCCCCACACCCCCTACATCCCTCCCTCCCTAACCCTCTCTAACTAGCAGTGGTGGGCACAGATAACCAAAAAAAAAGCTTTGCTAAACGCTAATTCGCTAACAAAAAAAAAAAGCTTTGTTAAGGCTAAACCGCTAAACAGATAAAAAAAAAAAATATTGGAAGCTAATGCTAAATAGCTAACTGTTATCATCACTGCTGTCTTAGACTCTGTAAGACTCTCTGTAATGTGACAAAGTTGTCAGTGAACACAACTCAAAACAGTTCATAAATCACAAGTAAAGCATCCATGTCCCATACAGAGGGGAACTTTCAGAACTTTATCCGGTCCATCAGAACCAAAGAGGCAGAGCAGAACTCTGCTGTGCTGAAGCAGAATTGCATCACAGAGACAGTGTGACCGTTGAGGTTTTTTTTATGATATTTTCCTGTTCTGGCTTCATTTATGTTAAAGTCTCTGTTAGTGACTGTAAACTGACACCATGAATCAGAGATTGTTTTCTGTAGTTATGAGGGGGAAAAAAATATCACTGTTATGGTGGTGACTTCACCGGGTGGCACTTAGTTTTGCTTAGCGCTTCATAGCATAGCATTGCTCTCTGTAAATCACCGCTCTCTTGTACACTTTTAGTGCAGACAGCTGCCCTAAAGAAAATGAGCACACTTGAATTAACAGCATTTAATTTTAGTGAAAGCTAATTCCTCTAAAGATTTTCAAAGTTAGCAAAAATGCTAATCTGCCAAATGGAAAGTTAGTTCTGCTATTAGCAGATTAGCCTAACCCTGTCCACCACTGCTAACTACCATACTACTAATGCTCAGATCAGCTTCTTTAACACAACTGCCATTCATCCTGATGCATGGTCTATAATCCAGGTAGATCAATCTAGCCAAGTTATGTCAGGTCCTCTGAACGGATTTTTCTTGTTTAAACGTTTCACACTTTATCCATACTTCTTCGGTCTGGCATGTTTCAACAAAGAAGAATCTGTCCAGAGGACCTGACTAAACCTTAAGACAACTGCAATTCCAAAAAACGTTGGGATGTTGTATAAATGGTAAAAAAAAAAACAATCAAATAAACACACACAAAAAAAACAATTATGTGCAAACTTCATAATCCTATATTTTATTCACATTAAACAAAGTTATGCAACATATCTTTTTAGAACAAAAACAAGGTATTTATAAATTTGACAGCAGCAACACATCACCCGATAGTTGGGACAAAGAATACAAAAGACTGTAAAACAAATAAGAAATATTTTGCAACTGATTCAGTCAATTAGAAACAGGTATGGGTATAAAACAGAGACAGTTAGAGAGGCTGAGTCTCTCAGAAGTAAAGATGGGTGGAGATTCAGCAATCTGTGAGAAACTGCATCTAAAAATAGTTGAACAATATTAGAGAAAATGTCCCTCAATGGAAAACTGGTAAGACTTTGAATATTACATTATCTACAGTTTATCATATCATCAAAAGAATCTGTAAACATCTCTGAGCTGAAAGTCTATTGGATGGTTGTAATATTGAGGTCCTTAGGGGCCACTACATTGTGGACATCACTGCATGGACTCCACAGATCAACACACTTCCACACATTGTCTGTAAACAGTTCACCGTGTAATCAACAAATGCTGCTTAAAGTTACTGTTTGCAAAGTTGAACTATTTAAAAAATCAAAACGTAATGATCAAAATCTGCACTGCATTTTTTTTCAAATTATTGGATAATGTGTTCTTAAATAAAAAATAAATAATCAACATTTGTGTTGTGGCTGCAAACAATCACTTGCATTTTTTTCCATATGGAAAAAGAAATGAATCAACAGTCAGTGGAAACAGGTCCGGCGTTTAGAAGCTATTTGAGTGTTAGCAGTTTGAATTTATACTTCTGTAGTAATTTGTTTAACACTTTAAAGTGCGCGGCCGAACGAAGCCCGCCATCTTTTTTGGGACCATAAAATAACGTCTCTACAATCCTTGTTTTGTGCTTAAAGTGGGAACCAAACACATAGCTCCATTTGCTATCAGCATGTTTATTCCCTTTGTTGCCTCGGCTCTGACAGCTGTGTTTACAGTGCTGTTGAAATTAAGTGGTCTTCCTCGGAGCTACAAAAAGTAACCTGTGACATCGGTTCTTTCCACCTAACGGGGTGAGTGGGCCTGCACGCTAGAAAGGGAGGTGGCTGACCTGTAGCACTGTTGGGAAGGAGTTGCTTATCTCTGTGGTCCAGTAGAGGCTCCATTTTATTTGACTGTCCCATGCAATCTTTTGATTTGGATTTATTCTTTATGGAAAATGCAGTCTTTATTGAATCTATTGCATTTTGTTTTCATTAATTATAATGATAATTTATATAATATAATTTCATTATTTAAACAGATAAGTCACAGAGTCTCAAAGACTCATTTACAAATGAGACCTGCTTGCACAGAAAATAAAAAGTGGTGAAAATGACAACATAGGGTTTGGACACAAAAAAAGTTCCTAACATGCTCTTAATCTTTGGCTGAAGGTTAACAGCATGATAATGAAAAAAAAACCTTGCATGAGCACATAATGATGCTGCCATTCTGCAGGGGAGAGGGATGCAAGGGTGGTGAGTATGTCCAGAGACAACTCACAGAGGCACGCAATTTGGACTCAAACTGAAAAACAGTCCTTGTTGGACTTGGATGAGATCAGGTTCCCCGACTGGAGAACTGTGGGTTTTGCCAGGAGACAGCAGCCTCCCCCAGCTCTTTATCCAAAAACTTGATTTCAGGGTTGAGTGATCTGCCTTGAGTTCCAACCCCCCCCCCCCCCCCCCCCCCACCCCCCCCCCCACCCGCCCCCCCAGGTGTGACTAGCCTTGTTCCGGTCCTTCTCATAGAGCCAGAAGCTGCAGCTCTGAGGGCAGGGGCAAACTGAAGACCTGCTTTGCTCGTGTTGGCTTTGTGCTAATCCTGAAACACAAACACCAGAGAAGAAGAACAACAAGAGTAATTGAACTAATACTGAGCAACCTTCGTTAGACACAGAGCTGACGAGCAGCAGCTAATTAACCTGACAAACTTTCTTAACGAGGTGAAGAGAACTGAGGAACGATGTGATGATGGGCAGATATAGTTCAGGTGAGGCCAGATGTGCCTAAAGGTGTGATTAGAGGTGTCTTCAGCCAGGTCATGCAGGAGGGTGGTGTCCTTTCATGTGTCGTACTGAGTGAATCCACTGAAAGTTACCATTTGACCTAACACGAAACAACAAATCCAGTAGATAGAACCCTCCATCAGACAAGAGTGAGAGAACATTCCCAGGTCTCCTCAAGTCCTCCAAATGGTGTCCCAGACCGATACCAGCATTTCTACAAGTACTTGTACTTGTAAACAATGCTCCAATGCACCAATACCACCACTGGGTGGCGCCATTTCCGCTGCACAAGTGACCAAAGGTAAAAAAAAGTCTGTAGTTTAGAGATAAACTACAGACAAACTACAAGATGAAAAGTTTTATGATAAACATGGATGATATTAAAAAAGTAGATTGTCTGCTGTGCTCAGCGAAACTGTCCAGAGGAGGGGAGAACAAGGACAACTTCAACACAAATAATTTGATTAGACACTTGAAGACAAAACAGGAGGCGGAGATCAAAGAGTTTGCTGCTGCTAGCAGCTCAACACAACCAATGCTGCAGCAAGTTCTCCAAAAACATGAAAAAATGGCTCCAGACAATCCACGTGCAGTGATGATAACTGAGGGGATTTTAGCTCCGAGGACTGTAGCTGAAGTGGTTTCTGCTGGACGTAGAGTAATGGAACATTTTAACACTCCACCTTAGCTTAGCCAGGAAGATATTCAGCTGCAGCTCAACCAGCCCACAAGAAGACTCCAGCAGGACGTGCCGACCTGCTGGACCAGCAGCTGTTACATGCTCCAGACTCTGCCTGAACTGCAGCGGTCTCTGGGAATTTCTGGGTCTGAATATGAACTTTCACACAACCTCACCGCTCACCAGTGGGTTCTGGTGGAAAAGATTATAGGCATACCAGCTCTGTAATATTAGTTCTCCTATTACCAATGAATATTACTTCCTCTGCTTTAGGTACAAAGATTGCTTTTTCTCCAGCATCACTGATCCAGAAGCAAAGAACATGGTGATCTTGGAAAGAGGCTGGAGGAGAGGCACAGGAGAGAAGGGGGAGCAGGAGAGGCAGAGATGCAGTAAGATCTGGAGGAACCACCATCTAAAACGATCAACAAGGCCCAGCCCAGCAGCAGTCAGACTCTGGACAGTATCTGAGGAGATCACACATGAACAAGCCTCAGCATCAACAGCAGCGTGCCACTGGGTGCTGTCATACAGGTGGAGACAGACCTGAGAGAGCCTATCATTGCTCGAGAAGATAAACCATTGCAGTACTGGTCCATAAACAAAGTAATGTTTCCCATTCTGATCCAAATGTCTCAAAGAGACCTCTCAGCACCGTGCACTAGTGCAGACAGTGAAAAGCGTTTTAGCTCAGTGTCATATATTGTTGATGAGAAAAGAAAGCAGCTCACAGCTGATGATGCAGAGAAGCTTCTTTTGATCAAAAATAACCTGCAGACAGCTGAACCTCATTAACATCTGGAGCAGCTGGAACAGAACCTTGAAGCTGCAGGACAAATGAACACGTAAACTATACAAAAGTGCATTTTGTTATTTTGTTTCTGTTTCTGAGATTTTCCTGAAGTGTTCAAATGTTATTTGTGTTTACCTTTGAACTTTGCATAAAAGCAAGATTACCAGGAATTGTATTTATATAGTTATGCAGATATAAAACATTTAGACTTTACTTATTTATATTATGTTGCACTTTGTTAAATGTTAAGAAATGAAGCAGTTTATAATTCTGCTACTGTTGAATTACTTTGTGCTGCTAAACACCATTGAATATGGTTGTTTACATTTCAAGTAAAAGATTTGTCCGGTCCATGTTT